CTTTTCTTTTCTTTTCTTTTCTTTTCTTTTCTTTTCTTTTCTTTTCTTTTCTTTTCTTTTCTTTTCTTTTCTTTTCTTTTCTTTTCTTTTTAATACGTTATGTATGAAAGAGAAATTGAGAGTAGAGAAATACCGGTTGCTGCAAAGAGTACAAAGAAATACAATAATCAGAAAGACGGAGAACCAACACAGGGGAAAACTGGGCTTTGAACCATCCACTGGATTGGGGAAAGGGAAATAAAAGAACGGTGCATAAACAATGCTGCATTTAGATTAGGGATGTAAATTAACATGTTATAATAGCATATGCAAAACACCACGACATAAATATTCTTTTGAGCTTTCATTCGCTTTCTTCCCTGTGTGTTTAAGTTTGGTAAATATTATTATAAAATGTATGAACTGGTGCTTGCTTGCTAAAAGCAATAAGAAGCTCTTACTGATAACGCAGTAGAATTAGTATGTATGAAGAAGAGCTTCCTTACCTGAGGAACTGAGCACACCGTAAGTTAGAATGTGAATTTATTCTTCAGGAACTCTCTTTGGATGAGATAACCTACTTCTCTTATAAATTGTAAACTCTTATTTTAGATACCTGTGTCTTAATACCCCGTGCAGATCAGCCCTAGATACTGGCTTCATTAGTCTCGCCTGCTGAAGATGTTTGGTCACTTATTCTCTTCTTATGACAAAGGTGGCTTTATGTTATGTAGAGGTTAAAGCCATGGTCATCTTCTGAAGACAAGGTTCAAGGACAAGACCTTGGTTTGAACCTGAGTAGTTTTCCCATAGGTGAAGTATTTACCAGTGAAATAAGAACACCAATTTTTCGACTCATCACAGAGGGCCTAAGCAAACAGGACAGTGTTAATCACGGGCTATAGATAAAACATTGCAGGAGGAGAAGTATGGATGCAAATGTTTTTGACCTTGAAAAGCATGTTCTCATCCATGGTGCTATGGTATCGTGCTATAATTAATATTCTATAGGAAAAATAATATTTTTTTTAACAATTGGGGATTTAAAATTGTTTCAGTGTTCTGAAGTTTATACAGATTTTATTGTGAGTAATTTAATGTTCCCCAGTTGTATTAATGCAATTTGAATGCTTTCAACACAAGAATGAGCTGCAACAGAAATCTTTCTTACTAGACTAAATTTTAAAAATTCCATGTTTTTCAAACATAATAATGTACAAATTAAAAGGCAGAATGTCAAAATATAGTTAGAAAGCTTAGTGCAACTACTTAAGGAGCTGCTAGTAGCATGGATAAGGAAATTCTGTACTAAAGTATTTTCAGATTAGAGTAACAGGAATTAGATTTGCATGAGGTGAAATTAGGGGAAAAAAAAAGAAAGAAAACAAATGTTAGCTACAAAGATTAGCAAAACATTTCTAACTGCATTCCCTGGGAAAAAAATAGAGAGTTGTCTAGAAGTTAATTTAATAATACAAATAAACTACAGCCTTTAATTATATAAAAAAAAAACACCCTCTGTATTTACTAAGTTTACTTGAAGTTAACAGTTAACTGTTTTCTAAAAGGCTTCTGTAAATTAATATTTTTCATAATTTTTACATTTTACTTGGTGGGATAGGCTCCTATATATCTTCAACTCTGTTAAATGTCAGGGCTTCTGCAGTAGCACAAGTTTTGAAGCATCTCTGCTGTTCAGTACATCCATATTTCAATGTACACATTCTCATTGTCACGTTCATTCACAGGTCTTGTTGATTTTTTTACCCTGAAAATAATGCTTGCTGTCAGGGTTTCCATAGGTTCATTTACTCAGCACCTTCTATTCACAGATTTTTTCGAGGGAGAGAGAGCAAATTTGATTATTTTTTTCCAATACAGATATAGTGAGCTACGTAGCATCTTAAGTTAAAATGAATTATGTTTTTTAGTTTGTTTTGCCTTGCAGATTAGTAGTGGAGGACTGAAAAGAGCGAGCATCTCATGCTGTGGTCTGGGAAGGTTAGAAGTGTAATGGATCTTTCCTTAGATTTCTAATATTCAGACCTAGCGATTTGTATAAACCATAGGAATTATTTTCTTTCCCTATGTTCTGTATTTCTTTTCTACTGACAAGCTTCAAGTAATAATTGAAGAAAGGATTCATTATGGAAAACATTTTAAAACCTGCTTTGCAATAACATGAGTCTGTTCACAATATAAGTTGAGAATTGCTGTTTTGGTAAATATTCAAATTCTGTATGGGAAATATGCCTGTCATTTGCAATTAACCTTGTCATCCCTTCCAAAATTGTATTTGTTTCAAATCTGTGTAATGCTACTGTTAATAAGTTAATGCAAAACTTTTTTTATGTCAAAAATTTTCATGTAAATGTAATATTTATGAAACTGTGTGATTCACAAAGCCAAAGAGCTTGAAGCACGTGAATATATCCACACACACACAAAAAAAAATTAAAAAAAAAAAATTTAAAAAAAAAAAAAAGAAAAAAAAGCAGGATCTGATCTTCCTGGCAGCCAGGGTTCATCAAATGGGGAAGAGTTTTTCCCAGGGTGAAAGTACAACTGCTTCTGTGAGCATCAGATTTCAGGCAACGTTTGGCTTATGGTGCTAAAATCTACTTATTGGCAATAAAGTTGAAATCATAAAGCTTCAGATTTAAATTCATTTAAAAAAAACAATAAATAATCTAGACTTCTGTCATTGCTTCAAAATGAAAACTCACCACAGAAGCATCAATTTATATTGCTTTGGTTATTACTTTTCACAGTTTTTTTTTTCTCTTTTTTTTTTTTTAATGGTTTATTTTCCCATGTTTCTTTTTGTTTTTTAATCCGGACCTCCCCTTATCCAGGGACATTGCAGCCACATGTTCCGGCGTGGGGGGGACCTCAATACCTTGCTCCTCACGTCAACCTCCTGGTGCTGCTGGGGGCACCTTGGGTGGCGTTGAGAGGAGCCAAGCGCCCGCGCGCGGCCGTCCCGGCGGGGTGTCCGCGGCGCGACGGGATGCCGGCGGGTCCCGCACGGATACCACTCTCTCTCTCTTTCTTGTAGGCAGGGTGCTGCTGTGCCAGGCAAACCAGGAGGGATCTCCCGTGTACAGTGCCCCCAGTTCTCTAGTATACACATCCACAAGTAAGCTAGTGCTACGGCTCTGTTTCTGTTGTGTGGCGAAAGCATCTTGATGTGAATGCGGCCCCTAAAAGTGTCAATGCTCCCGATACCCCTTTTTAAGATATATATGTGACATTTATAAATAATGCTAACGGATAACTCGGAATTTTTATTTGCATCTCCAGTTATTTGCAATTGCATCTCTAACTGCTTGCACTGCTCCGCGGTAATGCTCAAATGTTCTCCAGCAACACTGAAACTCTATAATCCAGCACTGTTGTGCACTCTATGTTTTGTGTAGATTGATTTGAAGTAAGTATTGCCTTCTGGTCATCATTTGTGATTAATAACCAAAAAGTCTTATACTTTGCTGGCTGTTGGATTGTAGCAGGGAAAAGAAAATGGATATGAGCTCTTCGTTTACAGAAGAGAGACTGAGTGCAAGTGGGGGCATTTTGCATTTTAAGAAATTGGCCTAAGAAAAATCAGCAAAGACCAGCTGAAACCGTGCGTGTTTCCAAATGAAACTGGAGTTATTGATGGTAACACTGATACTGTTTCTGAAATCCAGTCTGATGAAGAAGTAGCTGAATGAATAAGTAATAGTTGTGATTATGATATGGGTGAGATGTCTCAAGTGTCCAAAGATGATAAAAATCACCATGTTCCGTGTAGTGACTGTTGAAATAGTCCTTGGAACCAAAAATGCCTGATAACCAGTAAATAAGCGTGTCTTTTGCTTAATGTGGTACAGAAAATCCTTTCCAGGACTGTTCGCTGAGCAGCAGCATTTTGAGGCGAACTCTTGGCAGTTCTTTATAAAGAAAACATCCTACAGCATCTGATTCAGCACCATGATCTGATATGCTCTTTATGAACGCTGTATTCACAGTAGAAGGGAAATCTGCTCTTTTAAGACACCATTAGATTGTCAAATTAATTTCTCTCACTAATTAAGACCAGGAATGAGGACCAAGGAGTTCCAAAGTGATCAGCTCTACAGTCATACAACTCTTCTAAGTCTGGGGACAGTATTATCCCCACAGCTACCACTTTTACTGTATAAATATGTGAGATACTTCCAAAGCAGGGATGCATAGTAAAGTAATGAAGTATATAAAGTGTTTTAAATTGAAACTGAAATTATTAATGAAATTTTAATTTGTTTCCAAGAATAATTTGTACTATGACACCTTTCCCAAGCAAGATTTTTTTTCTAATCCTTGTGGTAAGATAGGGAGGAAATAATTATTATATAACTCAAGAGGACTGTTCCCTACAGTAGGTGTTTAGTTTATTAACCCATTTTATCTTTAATGCACGGAACAGTTGCATCTCTTCCTAGAAAAAATATCCAAGGAACTGATTCATCTCTCTGTTAGGGAGCTTTCTTGAGGATGGAGGAGGGGGACAGATGTTTTCTGTAATTTACTGTAAATAAAACTTTTCTTAAGTGTACCCTTACGCTCCTATAATATCACTGTGTTCTACCCTAAAAAAAAATATATATATATATATATGTCTGAGGTTGCTGCCTATTTCCACTCTTATTGAATTCCTAGGTAGTCATTGTGTCACTAAACTACATTCTTTGTTTCCACCATTTCTCTGGAGTCAATCCCTTGGAAAAATCTTAGGTTTTATAGTACTGCAACATGACTAACAATATCCTAACAAACCCCTGTTTGTTTTTAATTATGTCAAAAACGTAAGAAAACAGACTTTGCCTTTCTGTCTCCCACTGGGTCATATGTAGTACACAGTTCCATAACAGAGGTCCTTTCAGGAGAAATCGCTGGACTTTTGATTGAATCTGCACGTCTGCAAGCTATGGGGGTTTTTTTGGGTTTTTTTTTTGTTTTTTTTTTTTTTTTTTAAATTATGAGTAGTATTTTGTGTTGTCAAAATTCTACAGGTTTCCCCTACAGGGTCGCAACTCATACTAATATTAAATTATTACAATCACTAATGATTGTAGCACATTGTGATTATTTTTTAAAAAAAATTCTCCTTATTAAAAAGTTTCAATAAAGATACAACATTAGTGCTTTTCTATAAGCAATTTTACAAAGAACTGAAGAGGAATACGACTTGAGTTTTGGCTTTACTCATTTGTAGTATTTTATTATTATTTTAATAATATAAGACATCTTTTGATATCTGTATCTTTTGATAAGATATCTATTACAATATCTTTTGTGCTCCATGCTTGATTTATAATACTGAGAAAATTAATAAATCAATGTTAAAATCTAGAATACTAATATTACTATGCCACCTAGACAACAGTAATACAGTCCTCATTTTTCAATAATTTCTAATCATGTATTATGCTGTTGCCATTTTTCTTACTATGTAATATTTCAGAACAGCTCTCGCTGAAATAATTAAGAGGCTTCAAATTTGTGTCACTTGATGCAAATGGAAGAACCAGCCGAGATTTTCCAAGATGAGAGGTTTGGGGTTTGTTCTGTGCTAATGGTACTTAAGCTTATTCAGGTATTTGGAAAGTCTCCATTTGGAGAAATGTTTTCCTTGCTTTGATTGTTCATGTTTTGCTTTTAAGTTGCAGTCTGTCAGGAAGGATGGAATGAACTGTGGTTGTAAAATGCCTTTTAACACTTGATCCCCAATTCTTAAGCTAGCCAGAAAGAAGAGTATCCCTAGGAGCTTTCCCTCCTGGTTTGTTGCATTTCCCCAGGAAATATTTTCTGTAGCACATTTCCCAGTGCAATGATTAGTTACACATCTGAATATGTGAGGGGATGGAAAGATGGCCTCTCTTCTTCCTATCACTTCTGGCCCTGTGCATAATGCAGAAAGAAATGAGCTCCTTCTCCTACCAGCAGTGGAACAAATCAGCAGCAATAGTCTCTCATGCCTCCTCTGTTCTCTTATGCTGAAGCAGAAGGTGGGACCTGGATTAGCTTTTCATTTGCAGATATATTCTGGGAGCGGATAATTTGTTATGCAGAAAGCATAGATTCAGCCTCCAAACGTGCCCTTGGCGAGGCAGATTATTTGCCCGACTCTGAGGACCAAGAGTAAGGAAGCTCTTGGTCTCATCTCAGTTCCTGCCATTTCCCGTAGTGTGGGCATCCCAGGAATAGATTGGTTTCAGTTAAACTCTTCATCAGCATCATGCTAATGCAGAAAATAGACTGAACATGAAAGATATAGCTCCAGAAAATATAGACTGTAGGACACTAAAGCCCAGGAGGGCTGTAAGAGTTTGCTTCCCAAAAGCCCATGATACTTCAGCATTGCTACTGAAATTTAAGAGATCCAGTTTAAGAGATCCAAGTGTTTGGCCATGGCTAATACAGATCCTTTCTGCCTCCACCTGTTTTAGAGCGTTTACTTTTACAGGAAATTTTAAAATCCTCGGGAAATTTCTATGTAGTGACTAATAAGAAATTGAAACAGAAAAATGTTGGGATGTTTCCAAAGTGAAGCCACTTGAAGAATGAGATGTGAGAATTTCCCTGCTGCACCAGAGGAAGATTTAAAAGAAGAAAAAAGTTCTGTTGCTGAATATCTGTGTCACTGTCATTAAAGGACATTAATTTGGCAGTGTATGTAAGTTTAAAAGAGCAAAAATTTATGCAAAGACTTCTGAAAACACAAAGCATCTATTCTCACCATTTGTCTATAACATCAAGGTGCTTGATAATGTGAATTAAACAGAAGTTATTTGGAGCCAAAACAGAGAAGAAAAGTCACACACACACATAGAATAACTCAGGTTGGAAGAACGAGGGTTTTCAGGGCAGCTTAGAATTTAACATTACAAAGAAGTGATAGAATTAAAAGCAGAAAAATATAAAGTCAGGTATTCATTATTCTATCTACAAGGGCAAATGAAGTTGACAGCCTTTTTTTTTTTTTTTTTTTTTTTTTTTTTTAAGTGATATATTGATAGCAATTTTGTAAGTAGTATTGGAATTTGGCAAAAAATGATTTGAGTGGTACAAATGCTTATAAATCAGTCCCATATTATTCTTGTTCTATATGTAATTGTCTGATAAAACTTTCATCAATTTCTGTAATTAACCTAATGGTCTGAATGAATTTCCAGATCACTGGCTATTCATTTCAGTATAGAAAATGCCATTACACTGAGTTTAATTAATACAAAGTAAGATCACAGTCCATTGTATAATTAGAAAAGAATTCTACTGTTTTAACTGTTTCAATTTTGAATATTATTTTTCCTCGCAGTGTGTTTTTCTGTTTGTGGACTATTCATACTGTGATAAATGGTGTAAACTATTTTTAATTGGAATATTCAATACTCCGTGCTCTTTGAATTTCCATTCTCAAAATATCAATGCAGATAATTTTTTTGTATTTGACTTTTTGACTATTTTTAAACAGAATTCAGTCAGTGCCAAAACCATAATCCCTTGATATGCCCCAGAACATCTTATTTGTCTTGATATTCCTTTCACAGAAATACATATGACAGATAAGCACTCACCAGAGAATACTTTTGCTTTGCGTCAGACAGATATTAAAACAATAAACTATGTTGCCCTGGGATTTTAGCTTATGAGCAACCAGAAAACAACAAGGCAAAGATAAGATGTTTTTGAAAGGTGAGAAGGCAGTTGCTTCAGAAAATTCCCTGGAAACCCTTACTCTTGCACCGTTTTTGACAGGAATTATTTTTAATGCTCAAGTTCTGTTAAAGCAAATCAAGAGACTGCATTCCCTTACTTTAGAGCTCACGTTAGAAATCTTTCTGAACTGTGCTAATGATTCGAAGTTATCTATTACATGCCCATGGAGAAGTAAATCTAAAGCAGAAGCTTAAAGGATATAAGGGAATTTTGCTTTTTTATATATGGTCTCCATTATTTTTTTTTTTTTTTATATGATAGACATATTTAATTTGGGTTTTTTTTTTCCTATCAGTGTTTTATTTTGACTTACAGGTGAAGAACTGTTCCTGTGGATAGTACAGGACTTTGATGTTCGTGGACTAAATGAGAAAAATCAGTACTAACAGTAACTTCCAC